ATAAACGGACAACAAATGTATTGTGAAATGAAAATGAATATAAAATTGTAAATATCAAATGCAAACCATATCATTATGAATTACATTGAAAATCATTTTTAATAATTATGGCAGGGCAGAAATGAACACAAGAATATGTGGAGAGTGGAGAACCTGCGCAAATGTTCCACTAATTTGCGGCCTATCTAATTAATGACCCTAAGCCGCTCCAGCCGTCAGATGTTGTTGGTTTATTTTTTTTCATTTTTTTACAATTTCAAAAAATAGCAATTCGTTACACATTGTGTAGCAAGTTTAACGATTCGTTGCGGTTCGCTAGCCGCTGAGGCCTAAAAATTGTTGACAAAAAGTTGCACAGAGTTTGCCACTAATTGTCAATTAAGCAGGAAGTATGTAGTTGGTTGATTACACACGCACACACACATCCACATCCACATGCACACTCACACACGCACTTCCACTCAACTAAGAAAAAGTCCATGATTGATATTGGCAATATACGAGTAGGACGAATAAAAACGGGGCGAAGGACTTCGCTGTTACGAGTATACGACTATGGACGCATACGGCAAGTTTTGTCTCGGACAGAAAAACTTGGCGCTTAACTGATTTTCGTAGAAAACTTTCAACTTATTAAAAGTGCACTTGTGCAGCACTGTAGCTATAGCGTAACGCCCAGCTCCCCTCCCTCCCCTACCGCACATCCTGCTAGTGGACTGCGGACTGTCGGCAAAAGCGCTCAAGTATGTTGAACACGCGTCAAGTTCCTGAGCCAAAGTTTTGCGTCAACTTTTATTGGCAAGGTGAGGGTAGAGTGTGGGCTCACACAGTGAAACAAATTTTCGCAAAACTTGGACGGGAAATTAATCGGCGTAGCTAGAGTTGCACAAAATTATATCGATACAGATATCCTGAATGACTAGCAATGTACGAAAACACATAAAACTAAGCCAGTATTGAAGAATAAGTTCAACTTACGAGCTTATAACGATATAAATAAATTTAAGAAAGATATTGATTAGCCATTTAATTGTTTTTAATTTTTATTTTTATCGAACATAGTTATGTTTTTAACAGGAACTCTACAACTCTATATCTGCAAATGACAAAGTTGGATGGAACAAATGAAGGATAAGAAATATCGAAGTGTTATTTCTTATGTAAATAAGAATTATAAGAATCAGTTCAGTTCAGTTTTTTCAGTAAATGTAATTACAAGGTTAAGAATAATTAAAACGTCCATAAATTATTCAACGAACTACTATGTTGAGAAACAATTGAACCCTCGAAAAAGGTAATATAACCAAACAAATTTAATATAATTATTATGTGAATGAAAATGCGCCCGTGCTGAGGATCAAAGGGCATTATCGATATGTTAAAAAAGTCAAAGTTTCATGAAAGCAATTTCTCATATTATTGTCTTTTTCAGTTTTTAATTGCCGAGTGAGCTTCTTGAAGTGTGCTTCACTGTCTGAACAGCGCTTAGGGTTGACATTGAGGTGAGTTGAGTTTAGTGGAGTTGAGGACATTGCACAGGGCACTTAAGAGCACTTACACACACACACGCGCGCGCACACACATACCAACATATATGTACGTGAAAGCTAAACCATTTGGCAGCTGTCTGGGGCCAGTCAATGACAATGAATGGCAACCACAACAAAAACAATAACAATATTTCTAATTAAAGTTTTCAATTTGAAGTTTGTCTAGTGGGTTGCCTGAATGAAATGTTATCAGCAAAAGCAGCAGTAGCACCAGTGGCAGTAGCACTAGCAGTAGCAGTGGCAAAAACAAAGCCGCCACAAACAATGCACCACAGAGCATAGACTTTGCTGTGCAGCTGCCGTGGCCGAACAATGAACCCGATCCAGCACCAGCAGCAGAACCCGAACCCAAACCCAAACCTAACCAAAGGGAGCCAAAACTTAACTGAATTGAGCTTCAGAAAGTCCATGGCATTCATGTGTAATCTAATAACAAATAGCTTCGGAAGTATTAATCATATTTTGTGCCTGTGTGCATCCACTAATTATAAATTTCAATTGTTCACTACCCTATATGCGTGCGTGTTCGGCATAGTCGGCGCTTTATACATACTATGTACATACTTATATTTATATGTGTGTGTATAATGCATAACATAGACTAAATAGCGGCCTATCAAGCGTGGCTAAGCTCCTAAAAACTATTGAAGCATGCACAACAATCACATACAAAGTATAGTATATGCACAGAAATGTTATGGAAATCCACGCATACTCGTTTACTAATATATATGTATATATATCTATATATAGTACATACATGAGAACGCCTCTGACGCCAGACTGTCTGCTGATAATAATAATCAGCATAATCAACATAATAATGCACTTATATATACCAACATACACGCACACTCTCGTATAGTACATGCATATATTCACACCCCCAATACACTCACACATATGGTTAGCATCATTAAACGGCTGGAGCACAAGAGCCTTGCCACTAAAATGGGGCGGAGTGGTGAGGCGGCGGATGGTGCTATACAGGGAAATGACCGCCTCGATAAGCTGACCGATTTAAATTAATAATGAAATGTTGGGGGCGTGTGAAAGAGTCTGTAAAATGGAGTGCGGATTTACGGAACCGGAAAAAGGTTCGATAGGTTTAACAACCAAACCAATAATGCTAGGGATTCAATAAATTTATTTAACCTCATTGTTAATAGTTTTAATATTAATCGATTAAAAAGTAAGATCTCATACAGTATCGAATATCGATGATACATATAAAAGAAGAAGAGTTTAGATGTGAACTGAGAAAGGAAGTAGTGGCATAAATCTCTACTTAATCTAATTATTTATTAATAATATTAATATAAACGAATTTGAAAATAAAATTTCCTACAGAATCGAATAAGAATTTATTAATGGTATATAAGAAGAAAAGTTTAGATGTAAGCTAAGAAAAGAAGTATGAACCGATCCAATAATACAAAGGATTCAATAAATCTATTTAATCTTATTATTAATAGTATTAATCTTAAGCGATTTGAAAGTAAGATTTCATACAGCATTGAATAAGACTTTGATGATGTTAACGCAGAAGAAGAGCTTAAATGTGAAATAAGAAAGGAAGTATTGGCATCGTAGAGGACACTTCGGAAAATAAAGAAAACCCATGTACTTAGAAGCAAATTGTGACTTTACGAACAAAGTTTAAAAACAAATTCTGATTTTAATCAGTAAGTTTGTTGAGTAAAGAAACAATAATAATAATAATAATTCGCAAGAATTCAAAGTCAGATATATGTACTATAATATAACTGTATTGTTGGTTTACACCAAGTAGATGCTTACATGGCACTAAATCATTTCAATGGCTTTGTATTCTAGTATTGCGTTATTAAAAAAATAAAAACAGTTGCAATAAGAAATTCCAACTGAAGCTTTTTGGACTCTCGGTGTCAACTTAGATGGGTTTGACTGCTGTGCAATTTTTGGTTGCAGTTTTATCGCCACGAACAGACAGCATTCCAACAAAATGTCAGCCACAAAATTGTCGTGGTGTGCCTGCCTGTGTTGGCAAACAAAACAAATTAATAAGCAGCACATGCTAATAGCGCGCACACACGCACAGCTACACACACACACACACACAAACACATATACATATCAAAAGCTTTTGGCAACGACCAAAAATCATTAAAACCAGTACCAGCCGGCTGTGCTGAGGAGCGACAGAAGATAGAAAAGCCTCCACTCCTCCTCTTTCCAATAAAACGAAAGCAGCAGCAGTAAGAGCAAGCAGCATTGCCAAAATCATTTGAACTACCCCCCTTCCCCCACCACCGCCTCTACCCCTCCACCCCTCACAATATCGCACTGTCGGCGTTTGACAAATCAATATTGGCTATTTTTGTATGCAGGAATTGTGGGCGTGGACGTCAATGGCAGTCAGTCACTCAGTCGGGGGAGTTGTCTACAACTCCCTCCTGCGTTTGCCAACGAAATAGTCATCAGAAGCATTGACGCCGCATGCATATTAAATAACCGGCAACACACGCTATATGTATGTACCTCTGAAGAGCTATACTATACTATACGGAAGGCAGTACGACGACCGACTGTCTATAAGTAACTCTCTTAGAACATACATACATACATACGTGTGTGGGGGTGGGGGTGGGGGTTAAATGCATAAATAAGTTAAAGCTTCAACTTGTCTATCATTTGACTTCAGAGGCATACGCTGTTTTTAAAAAAGCGAGCATGTCCAGAGCTATTTTATTCATAAGATAACAGACGCGAGGCAGACTTATCGTGCTATTAATTACTAATGGATACAATACCACTAGCATAGCTACTCAGTCGTTTAATCATTTAATGTGAAGACAATACTTCCATTAAATGGATATCAGTGTTATTCTCGTGCCGATTGTGTAAAACAAAGCACAATTTGCGATTAACGTGCCACCCCATTTGGGGATTGAATTTTTAAAAACCTATCATGTTCAGCAACAATTTTCCAAAGAAAATCAGATAGTAAGCTTAGGAATTAGAATGTTTTGATTGTGTTGTCTATGCCATTCAAATATTAATCATATTGTTGCTTTTTGAAACTTCGATTAACAAAGTAAGCAATTATCTATTGATTTGCAGTGGAACAAAAAATGGCAGCTATTGTTCAAATAGATCTTTTTCTAATTGAAAATAATGTTTTGTTATTATTTCTCTACAGGGAACTCTATAAAGGTTTTTCTATAAATTAAAGGTGAACTTTAACTAAATGTTATTATTCTATTTCTTTTTTTTAAGATGATATTATTTCCTCTTACTGACGAATGCGCCCACACACTTTAAATGAATGTATTAAGGATCTCATTTTGCGAGCTTGAACATATTTTTGGCGACTTAAAAATGGTGCTCTATAGACTGACAAGAGATATAGCATATATATTTTGTTGTATTCGGAATATTAAATCTTAGCTCGAGAATGTTGTGCTTTATTTAACCCCTTTCTATTCCATTGACATAGTTTGTTTTGCAATAGCAATACGGTTCTAAGCTATGGTTTCGAATGCATGACGATTGGTTGCCATAAATGTTAATGCGTTCTATGGGACCAGTCAATGCCATTGAATATGAGGAAAAGCGTACTGTACCCTCAAATTTGGCCAGACCCGGAACCGTTTCGGCCTGGACTTTAATATCGTAGTCTTGGTTTTCTGCCTTGATACGCCACATATACTCGTAACTATTCAGCACTCTCTTCAACTTCAATTTGTGGCACAACGTGTGCGACTGAAGCAATTGGTTTATAAAGCGCACCATGAAACGTGCCGCACGTTGCACGTTCGCATCATCGATGGAGATCTCCCGTATTGTATTGCAGGGGCAGAAGGTCTCATTGATGTGGGCCAGTGCGCAGGTTCGCAGTTCGGGAATGGGTAGAAAGAGACTGATGCCACGAGGAATATTTTCGCCAAGCGAGGAAAGCTCTTCGCTGCGTTTGTTCACATTCCCGTCCGTCAGATTGGCGATATTGAGTATATCTTTAAGTGTGGCATAAAGATCGCAGGTGGTTATCAGTCGTCTGCCATTCAGTTTCAAATTAGAGATGGCCAATGGATGCGATTCCTCCAGCCATTTTGGATAGCACGTTATCAGGATCGGATGATTCACCTCCATCATGCCCTGTCGGGTCAAACGAAAAATGCCTTGGCGGTTGCCATGATCGGATATAAAAATCACAAGCGAGTGCTCCAATATACCTTTATCCCGAAGTTGTTGCAGCATATGCAGGAATTGATTATCCATGAGTTTTGCGTAATTGAAATCCGAATGTACACCTTCAGCCCACCACAAAAACGAGAAGAAATCCTTAAATTTTAAGTGCGGCATTATTTTATAGAAGAACTCAAACAATTCATCTCCAAAACTGACGTGTCCATTGCAGTGTTTTAGTCTAGTATTTGACACCTCTGACAGCTCGGCCATAGCCGTTAATGCTGGTCTAAGGTAATAGTTTGTTGGTGGACGCCGAAAGCCAGGGTTTAGATAATTAAAGGTACCAATTGTGTACGCATCCTCACCAAAGGCAGTAGTGTAGCCAGCAGACTCAAAATCGCGCCAGATGAGCTTGCACTTATCGTATCCAGATTTTTCCCAACAGCCCCTTTTTATCTCATTTGCGTCTTGGCCAGAAAGTAATGGCAATACGTTGCCATATGTGTTCGTATGAGCACGCTGATAGCCCCAGAATTCGACATGGGGGAGAGAGCGCAGGAATATTCCAGTCTCAGGCATGGAGCGTAGAAAATGCATGTGCGAAATGGAATCTATTCCAAAGATCAAAACGGACAAACGACGAGTACGTTTGTGGTCTTGAGACGGAGTAGGAATTTTAGTCTTCGTGACAGTGGCTTTTTTAGTAACATCCTTGGGCCTTTTAATAAAAAAGTGCACCCTGTTATAGACCGTTCTATTTCTAGCATTGCATGTCACGTGCACAATATCCTTTACTATAATGAGCCGCAAATTTGGCTTCAATATAAAGTTTCTCTCATTCACAACCCTAGTGTGGGAATCATCACTCCGCACTATTTCCTGATATTTGCATTTCAAATCCGTTATCTTCAGCCTGTACAGATAAGATTTAGCTGCCATATTCGTGTTCAGTTCCAAATAGTTGGACACGTCGTCACTGTAGTGATTGAATAGCGGCCAGCCCCCACAGTGTGCTTTCGGCAGATCAAACCAGAGGGGCACCACATCCCATGTGAAGGGCGATGTCGCCAATATGCGACAACCACTCGTATTTATAAAATAGCCCTCAGTAATGTTATGCTCATCGTACAATTGGTCGACAACAATGTCCAAAAAGAAGTAGATTGGTAAACAAAAAAGAATGGCGCAGCAGCTCAGGCGTCGAAACAATTTTTCGCGAGACCCAATTTTAAACGTAATCGTTCCCATATCTGGAAATAGTTATGTATATTTGATTGACAGTAGGAAGTCAGCTTGCTTTGTCACACTACAACAACTCTAACTTAAATAGCCAATATCATATCAATTTCTTAAGTGTCTCTCTCTGAGGGACAACTGCACTAAGCTTAAAATATGAAAGGATATAAGTAGTATATCCAATTTTTTGCTGAGTAGCTGACTTTCTAACAGTGTACTAAAGCTTTAACTCCAGTTCTTATATCACTTTTCATTGATTCGACGCTCATTTTGGGAAAAAACCTCATTCGAAAATGTAATTAATGAACATTCTGCAAAACATGATACCAATTAGAGCTGTAAAACATCTTTGAATGCTGCAGTGGTAACCGCAACCAAAGCAACAAGTTTTGCCAAATACAGAACCATGCAACAGATATCTGAGTAAACCAACAATTCCTAGGTTTTATGCATACAATAATGTAAGCTTGTGTGTGGGTGTGAGCATTTGGATCTGTGTTGGGCTGCAGCTGAAAACTGATTATGATTGTAGCCCCTGCAGGCAGCCAGTCGCATATGTATTGCAATAACAGAGCGCTCACAACCAACATTAGTTGGTCTCAAACCAAAGTGCAGCAAAACCAAAAGCAATACAAAGGGACTTGCATAAAGGGTGGACGAGATTGGGAAGATTGAGCAGAAGGAGCGGCAAGAGCAAGAGCACCAAACAGTAGCATATTAGAGGGCCGCACAGTCGACTACTGTATACACTGACCCCGTTCTTTCTCCACAAAATGCCAACAATTTCTGAGACAGCTATCGTGCTTATATTTCTACAAAGTTTTAGTCACAATTGATTACATTTCAAAACAAAACCAACAAGTTTGATTACAATATCGGTAAAAAAAAGAAGTTATTAATCAAAGAGTGTCTGTGAGTGTCTGCCTGTTACATAAAATCAAAGTTCTTAATAAACCCTTTCATATTTCGAATAGAGAGTATAAAACGTAACCAAAAATCAAACTCCCAGCATAGACAAACATTTCATGCATGCACCAAAATGTGCAAACATGTCTAAAATGCCACGAAAATGTGGATGGGTTGGAACTGGTTGTATCTGCACACAAAGGGCTGCTGGTGGAGATAGAGGAAGGGGAGGAGCAGGAGTAGGAGTAGGAGGAGCATCATCATCATTATATATCATTAACACAGCAGCGTACAAGCAGCGCAGACAACACGAACCACTCGAACAGCAACAACGATTTTGTGATATCATTAACATGAGAACACAACAGAGCAATTGCAAACGGAATTGCAATAACATACAGATACACCCACATCCACACACACACACACACATAGACACACAAAACATCACTCACAGGCACAAACGGAAGCAAATGTGTATAGAAAATGTTTTTAATTAAACGCTTCCCCCTTTATTATTTGCAAGTCTCTGTGTTTGTCTCCTGCTTGGGCTTGAGTATCAATACTTTTGCTTTTTAATTCACTTCATTTTCATTTCGCAATGCACTAGACATGATGAAGTCTCTGTGGCAATGCCGTGTCGCCTGCGGTAACGTTGGGATGGGCTTCAAAGATACGTTTGTAGCTCATAGATACATTTTGCTCATCGTCAACGTCCTTGCGTTGCATAAACAAGCAACGGCATCGTGGCGCTGTTACTTAATATGTTCCATGTTGCCGGCAAAAGTATAAAATAACAGCAATCCACAGTTCCATATACCGTATATATCGTACCTATACAGATGCAAAGGATAGAGGGGAGTGTTGTGGCAGGTTGCCATCAGCCAGCGCTCTGCTTATTATGCATCCGAGTGTTGAATGTTGCGATATTGGCAAAAAATAAATAAACAAACACACAAACACTCTTTGACAGCAACACGCGTTATAATTCATTTTTATCAGTTGAATGTAGGAATTCATTAAAAGTTGATGGGAAAATCTGGCCGTAATTTAATTTCCATTACTTCTTTTTCAGTTATGTATTGAATTGCCAATTTTTACTTTGAATCAAATGCTGGGCGCTGTGGCGAATTTACTGGTAAGTGCACTTTTTAAATGTTTAGTGGTAAGTTTAATTATTGGGTTTAAAAATATGTAGTTAATTGGTAATTCAATTTCAAGGAAAGTTCTTTTAATTTCAGTTTCCTGATTCTGATTTAATCAGCTTTGAAACAGCTCGTTATCGGTTTGAGGTATGCGCCTGAACCTATTTAGAATAAGTTCCAAGCCAAGTTTCCAAAATATTGACATGTTTCAGTGCTTATTTATCGATAGGCATGAAAATAGAATCTGTTGGCCATGATAAACTCAAAACATTGCAATTCAAAGGGATATTTGTTTATTTAAAGTGTTCCATAGCATTAATTTTATACCTTCATACACTACATAAGCTATTTTCATTGTATTAGATAAATTTATTATTTGTTTTCACTGAGGCTCTGATCGGGATCTTGTGGCAGATTTAAGCGCGGATCTTTAAGCAATGACGCTTTGACGTTTTCATACTTCTTCTGCGACTCCTCATGGGTTAAGGTTAGACGTTGCTGTACCATCCGCTTGTTTAGCTCTATATCCTTAGCTTGCTGCACCAGACGTCTGTAGTCGTAGGTATCGAATTGATTCTCGAATTTGGTTAGGAAACGTTTCAGGGATTTGGATTCGCTGGTCAAATCCTCATACTGTCTCTGCAAGTTATTTAACAAATTGACGAAGCGTATCTTCATGTCGTTGAGACATGCATTATACACATATGCCGACTGCTCGAAAGTCAGTTCTTGATTGCCAAATGGTACTAGATATGGGGCTAAGAAGTCCGCCGGCTTGCCTGCGATTTCACGCCTGTGTTCCTCTTCCTCCTCGTGCTGTTTCATGCGAATGGCGCGTGCTGCTCCGTTGCGCAACGGATCGAATATGGAGAACTTCAGCTTGGGCTCTTTCTTCTCCGTTTTGCGCAGCTCGCACAGATTATATATATCGGACTGAATTTTATCGAATTGCTTCTTAACGCGTTCCATGTGTTCCAGCTGTTGGAGCAACAATTTATACAATTCCAGATTGGAGCGTGTTGGATCGAGGGGATTCGCTTTGTAGACTTTTGTCATTTTCTCATCGTACTCTAACTCTTTGCCATAATCGGGTCGTGGCGGTATTTGGAACTCAACAGTGGAAGCCGTCAGAGCTCCAGCGTTGTAATGAAATTGTAGAATTATTTTGAAACTATTGAATAGAAATGTGCGGATAGCAATCTCGTTGTTGCCCACATCAAGAACGGTGTTTGGGCGAAACTTTTCAACAATTCTTTTCAATTTATCACTCGGAACATTGAGCTCAAACTCCTTGAACCAGCAACTATCACTACGACCCTTATAAAAGAGCGTGTGAAGCCCTGTTTCTGGATTTATTTCCAGGGAGTCCAGTGCATCTAACCTTGATGCCGAAAAGAAGTTCATCTTTTTACGCTGTTGCGCAGCTCCAGAATATTCAATGGACTTTAAGCAGTCATTGCGACCCTTCCCGAAAATCTCCTTATACATATCCGTCTCATAGATATATTTAACATGACGCATGCGATCAGCACGATTCTCATAGTATTCGTAGCGAACCTTGGGATTCGTGCAGGCATCATCATTAAAGATTGTTAGCTGGGCTACTTTGCCATCGCGTTGGCTGTAGGGTGAGAATCGTTCGTGTATGGCACCTTTGTATTGGATTTTCTTCTCCCGATTGGGAAAACGTTGCTCATAGTCGCGCAGACCAATATGTAGTCTGTTCACCCACATAACCAAAAAGTCCAAATGCTTCTCATCATCGACATCGTGCTCCTCGTCGAGAATATTGGAGTCGGAGCTTTGTTTATAGACGCGCATCTCTGGCGGCTCACCCGGCAATAAATGCTCCCAATCCTCAAGTTCGCGCAAATCCCAGCGCATTTCACCAACCCGCTGACACTTTTGTTTGTTCACATAATAATTGTATTGATTCCAAACACTGTCCACCAATATGTATTGCTTATGATTGGTATCACAAATAAAACCTGTCGACGGTTCTATAAATGTGGCTTTTGGGGGTGCTTCCTGCACATCGCCATTAACATCGGTGTACGTGATTCTCGGTTTGATGCTCCAGGGTGCATTGTCAATGATCACCACCCAGGCGTGGGAGCGTCTGTAATGATATCGATCAACGGCGAGTAGTTCGAGCTCCTTTAGATGTTTCTGTATCAGTTCCTCCTGAAGGCGGTTCTCCTCTTCGGTCTTTAGTCGCATTACCTCAGCCATTTGCTCATCCAGATGACTGTGCAGATCGGGCATGGGACGCAGTTTGTATTTAACACCGGCCTTCTCGACCTTAACCTCTGGCTCTTCGGCTTCCACCTCGACTATGGCATAAGGGTAGGGCACAGTTTGTTGATCGTTGAGCACCGTTTCCTCGCGCGCCACCCCAGATACTACCATAGCCGGATGTCCAGCACCGATCAGCATACTACACAATAGTGTGGCCATTTCGAACGAGTTGCCATGACGTTTCCGCAGCAATGTATCTGGCGATATCAATCGGGTGGGTAAGTTGAATTCGTCCTCCAACGGCTCGTATTGTATGAAATCGGCAACGAACTTTGCAATGTTCTCTATGCTCGATATCAGATCGGTATATATAAAGGCCGTAGGTCTTATAGTAGTGCACACAAATTTCTACAAAGTTGAGCATACATTAAGCCTTTTGTAGTTTCTTGAATACCCTTACAAATTACGAATATATTACCTGCACATTGCATTCATTTTGAGGCGCCAGCACTAATGCCCTTCGCTTTGGATACCGCACCACAAACTGCTTGCGAAAATTCTCCCCGTAGAGCAATATTAAACGCTCTTTGGGTGAAAGCGTATAATATGAGGGTGGATAGCACTGTGGACTGTTCTCGAATTCGGCAACTGTTTCCGGAAATGACAAATCAATCTTTCCGATTCCGAAAGCGGGCTCGCCTTCGGACAAACTAAATTCCGATTCGCACATTTCTTCCTCCTCTTCAAACTGTTCCTCTTCTTGAGCTGCCAATGCCGCAGCCGCCGCATCCGCTGCAATGTGCTCCTCAATCTCTTTTAACTTGGCCGCATGCTTCAGCGGGTCGATGGTGCTCCTCGGCTTTTGATACTTTGTAAATACTACTTTCGGCATATTTACTGTTGGTTCCTTTTACGCTTGCTGTCCGCAACAAAATGTATGTAGCTCCGTTGCTATGGCAACGATGTTGTGGGGTTGGAATATATATATATACTTGAATGAAAAATTACAGCTGCACCGAGGCTACTAAGTTAAGGAGTCCTGATTCGAAACCGAAGTACTCATGATTACAAACAAAAGCTATATTCAATATTTAGGGGAAAGTTACTTTACAGACTTTACGAACATTCGACTAAAACAAACAACTAACATCAAGTAAAGCAAATTATTTGGTGTTAGTACTACAGAATTATTGTAAATCCTAAAGGGTTTAGTTTTTATTGAAAAACATTCTCAAATGGCATATCAATCTTATTTGTTCTGAACAAAGGTTATTATAAATACATATTTCGACTAGTGCTTACAAAATGTAGAGTAACAATGATTTCATTTCGCAAGTTAAATTAATTGAAATGTTTTCCGACATTGAATTCTTTACATTGCATTTAACTTTTCGCTTGAAGTAGTACTCGTACAAAACTGTTGACTTTTTGCTCTCACCAACTCAAATAAATACCTATTTAAAATGCAAAACGTGTACAGCATAGAAATGTGCAAAAAGCCACGAAAGGATACTGTTGCCTCGCTCAAAATTACCTAAGAACAGACTGCGAAAATAGTTCGTAATCATCATAAAATAAGAGAACACACTGTAAGCATATTGCCAGTTTTTTGTGCAGCGTTTCGGGTTTAAAAGAGAATCAAAAAATTTACGTATGTTTCCTTTCCAGAACTTTAAGTGAAAGACAGGCTTATTATTGTATGAAAATTCGAAAACTAATCGGATTACGCCTGTTGTGACTCCGCACTATTCGACCAAATTCGAAAACGCAAAGGGCATTGATTAACCAATTTCATTTTACTTTAATTAAAAGCAAAAGCATTTCTATATCAAATAATCTCTCTAAGGCAATTTACTTGTAAAACGGACGAGTCTGTCTGCCAGTCTCAGCTCAAAATGCAGGAAAAAAAAAGAAAAAGAATTTATTCTAATAAAATCGAATCACTCTGAAATCGCCGTGATATTGTAAAGACGGCTTTCCATCTAAAACCAAAGGGGATCATTATGAAGTAGCGACAGTGGCTGCTTCAATAATTAATTAATTGAATGACACTCGAGCGGACTGCATGCAAAAGCATATGGCTTGGTATGGAGGTTATCTAAGTAGCGCTCAAGTAAATCAACTAGCACTGGAAAATGGCATGCGGAATGAAGCAGATGTGGGACTTTGTCTCTCACAGCATCTGAAAGCATGAGGAAAGTTGGTGGCTGGTGCTTGGTGCTTGGTGGCCTGTGTGTTGTGAGGAAGCTCATGATTTCATATAATCATGTGGATGTGTGTTGTTGTTTTCATTACAGATTATAAACAGCAACATAACACAATACTTATAACAACAACAGCAACTGTGGTGGTAATATCAACATCAACAGCAACAGCAACAGCAACAGAAACAGCAATAATAAATGACAGCAAACATAAAACCAGAGTGAGCGCAAAAGTTTGCCATGATTCGTATAATTGCAGCGTGAATAATTACATCAAAATCAACAGAGCCAACAACAACAGTAACAACATCAGATCAGCAATGAAAGCTCTCAACCCAACCAGCAGCCTCAGCAGCAGCAGCAGGAACAGCAGCAGCTACTGCAGTCAGACAGTCAGACATATATGTACGTATGCTCGTAGATAGACAAACGGATATATATGCCGACATGCAGCGCCAGCAAATGCACTGAAAACACAATAAAAGATTATACTTCATGTCTGTAGGTCCGTCTTTCTGCCTGTCTCCCAGTCTGTCTGTTGCCAACAAATGTTGTTATTTATGCGCTTGAAAAAGTTTTTAATTGATTTAATAAGTAATGCGATTAATGGCAACAATATGCACTGAACAGAACTCGCAGATACAACAGATACAATTTTATGGGGTGAAAAATCATCGGAAAAAGGATCAGTTTCACATTGAGCCTAAAGTTTTGCTCTTTTTTGTTGTTGTGGTTCTTGTTGTTGTTGTTAATGTTGGTTTGTTTCATAATTGTTTTTCTGTTTTTTTTTAATTTTATTTTTTGCAACACTGCGAGGCTCTTTAACATGCATACATATGTTTAACATTTGGATTTATGAATGGGTGCACAGCATGCTTATCATTCAGCGAACACCATGGCTATACGAGTCTACGTACATTTCAATAAATGTCATCGGAAATAATGTCTTTTTAATTGAATTGTGGTGGAAGTTATTGGCTTGTGGGCTGACGGCTAATTGGACAGGCTGTTGTTGGTGTACAGCACTTTTGTTTTTTTACATTGTTAAATTCATTTTTCATTTCCTAAAATCTTGTATATATTCGAAGGTGCGGTAAGTGTTGAGATTTAAAGGTTGGTAGTTGATCTGAATGGACTCAAGTTTGTAGTAAATATTTACCAATTGGAGTCTACTAAGCACATTATTTTCCAGTTTGATGGATCCTGAAGTTTTAAAGGTTCTAAGCTTATTGAAGAGTCTACTCTGAAAGAATCTAATACTTTGCTTAAAACAGTAAAAACATTGTCGCAGAACCAAGAAAATCCACAAAATGGAAAGTATTCAAGATAATCGAGGAGCCAGGTGAACAGCCAAACCAATGTCCCCTTTCAGGAGAATAGTCTGTGGACTGAAATATTTTAAAGTCAAATGCAGTAACCATTTTAAATGACCAAAAACTCTCTACTATTATTAGTTTGTCAATCAGTGACAACTGTAGGAGATTTTTCTGCTATGGCCGTAAGAAGACATTTTTTAAAACCGCTCTCAGCTTAAATGCAAATGGTGTCAATTTTTTTTAGCTGCCCGGTAAGCCTGAGGTATAACATAAGCTTGGCAGCTTAGGTGTTTTTTTTTTGGTGTTGACACAAACAGAGCATAAGAGGCTTACACAAATATTATAGTTTAGCAAGTATACCCACAGTCCTAACTCATCACCAGCACCTCGAATGTCACTTTGAAATGTCCATTGTAGATTTTCGCATATTGCATAGGAGGTAGTAGTTTGAAGGAAAGAAATGGATTTAGAGCACTTTAAGGCCAGTTAATCATGACTTGAAGGCAGTTCAACACTTTGGTCACGCCCACTACTTAGTCTGACAGCAGCTGGTGTTGGAGCTGGAGCTGGCACTGGAGCTGGGGTAGGAGCAGAAGCAGGAGCTGCACACACATCCATCCATTGCCGCTGCTATCAGGCACATCCCACTGCATTCTGCTTTTCGTATCCTTTGTGCTGGTTTTATCTACAACGTTGCCACGCTTGCTGCTAAACAATGAAGAACTAATCCACAGAGCATACAAAAAGGAATAAAAAAACACACTATAAAACACACACACACAGCAAGTACAAGTGTGTGTGTGTGTGCGTGTCTTGTGGATTTATGTGGGTGTGTATAGCGCCACTTTATGGCTGCCCTTTGCAACAATTGCGCTGCTAACTTGCATGCAACGCCACATTCAATCAACAAACTTTTAAAGCGCAGTTACAAAACTCACACAGAACGGACGCAAAGATGGGACGTGCTGTACGGATACGGATTCGGATTCTCTTGCGACGCTCGGTCGCTCATGTATCCAGCCAATGAATGTCGTTTGAATGATTACAACAGCAGTAGAAACTGCAATAACAACAATAGCCATGGCGCAACAGCAGCGTTTAATTATGACAATCAATACACACACGCGACACACACACACACACACACACACAGAGAGAAACACATACGAGCACGCATACAATTTTATTGCCATAGAAAACTACGCTGCAGGATGTGTAAATAAGTTCGTTTGTCCGTCCGCCCATCCCTCTGTCTATCTGTCCATTATTTACGTTTCTCAACGCTCGCTGTGTAAAATAGTTGCTTCAACAAATAAATAAAACTTGATTAAATTCCATTACTATCTGCAATTTCCAGAAATTTTATTGGTCCGCCAAGATGGCGGATGAGATCGACACAAAGCCCACCATTTGGATACCAGCAAGGGGCGTCGGCCACCAACCAAATACATACATTCGTGTACACATGTACGTTTATACAACAATCAAACATAACCTAATTAGAAGATGTTGTCGTTGCGCCGGCTTTGACTCCGGCTTCGGCTTCGGCTTCAGCTTCAGCATGTTGGGTGGCCTCCATATCCATTCATACATGCACACATACAAGTACATATATGTAAACACACATACGAGCACATAATTACATGCAAGCCAGCAACCGCCCATGGCACTCACTATTTGCACTGCCTTCAATTAACATTTGCGGCGCGAGGCATTTTCTTTGACCGGCCACATACGCACAAAAGCATGAATTTATGCATCCCACTTACATATAAACAATGTTATTCAATGGAATAGGAACAGCAATTATTAAAACAGACAGCTGTACAGGAATGTTTATCGTTCAGACTGGATAATAAAGTAATTACTAATCTTGCCCGAGGGCTTACTTTTTGAGAATCGTGTGTAGGGAACCAAAAAGCAAAGTGAGAAATACTATTTAGGGGGGCTGGCTTATAGTACATTTTGATTGTCCATTTGCCTTCACTGGAGAAAGTATTGCAGCTATGTATATGCATACAATTTTGCATAGAGATCTTCTAAAGTGCTAGAAATATGTTATACCTAAAAATATGGCGGCAAGAGCCTCCATATTCTCATATGAAGATGATGGCACTTCCACCGACATTTGTATACAAACTCATTACTCCGTGGGGATATCGTTATATATATATATAAGACGATCTTAGCCTTTTCATCCGACATTCAGTTTTAGAATACCATACCAAAAATTGAGCGGATAAGATAGAGGATTCTTAAATGAAACTTAAAGGAAGACTTACAACAACTCTGCCTGGGTTTGTCCATACTAGAACCGACGGGTCAACTGAATATCAATCAGAAGGTTGAAAAAGTATTCTCTGTTTATGTTT